CTGAAGAATGAAGTGTAAACCCTAAAAGCTAAAAGTGCCTAACACCTTAACTGATATAAATGTAATTAATTAAACTTCTTATCGGGTTATCGGGGCACTCGATTAGAAATATGGCCAAATCGAGACCTGAACCGATAAGCCAATAAGAAGTTTATATTAAATCGAGACCCAAACTGTTAATTAATCATTAACCCGAACCATTGACCAAATAACCAAATTATCAATTCGAATTATCGACTTCGATTCGATTTTGAACCCCGCCCTAGTGTGAACTTAATATCTCTAATTTAAGAGTTGAAGGATCTCGTATTCATCCCTCCACACTGTTGGATGGTAGAACGAGAATATCGATAAACTTATTTTGTATTCTTTTTTGGATTTATTACTGGTTCCCTTTATTTTATATGTACTTACAAGTTATACCTTAATATAATTGTGTAAAAAATCATTTTTATATGTATAGGAGTAAACCTTTTCTTTTTAGAATAAGACAAGAAGATCAATTTGTAAAATTAATTAAAGTTTTAAATGTTGATGATGATAGTTAGATGTTGATGTTTAAGAGAGACTTGCGCTAGTAAGTCATGCTTGTCGAGTTCTAATTTGTTGAAAAAGAATTAGTACAAACAAAAAGAAAAAAAGCTCTAAATAGTCCTATATATTTAGACATTTAACCAAAGACATTTTTATTCTTTAATAGGAAAAGGGTCTGATATACTCTTCAATTTTGTCATTTAAAGTTGATATACCATCGTTATGAAAGTGACGCATACATACCCCTACTGTTATACAAATGACTCAAATGTATCCTTTTCCTATAACGGAAGTAAAAAATTAATTTTAGTTAAATTATTTCCCTTAGCTATACAATATTAGTGCATTTTGGTCCTAAAATTAACAAAACTTAACTCAAAAGGAATTATTTTGAACTTATAAACTATAAACAAAGAGTTATGTGAGTCTAAGTTCCATTAGTTTTAGTGTATAGTTACAAATTTAAAAGAATCGACCTAAATAGTTGCCCATCAACAAAAACAAAGATAATGGTGTGTATATATATAGACTAGAAAAAATAAATAATAAATTAGGCCAGCTATTTGTGTAAAACATCCGAAAGTATATCAATATTGTGTAAAGGATTATTAATGCTACAAATTAAAGTATAAGAAACTTCTTTTAATTCTGAGTCCAAATATAAGAGACTATTTTGAGTTTTTTCTCTATAAGCAAAACCACAAAAATAAAATAAAAAATGAAGCAAAGATGGTGGAAAATGCAATTTATAGACACGTATAGAATACGTGGAATGGACCCATGTTTTGCAAAATCAATTTAAAGAAAACGAGTAGAATGAAGACTTTGTTTATTAATTAGTAGTTGTGGCCTAAATTAAAACAATTAATGATTTTGTCATCAAGAATTTATGTTTGCTGTGTAAATGACATCATTACATGATTTATTCAACTACTGCATGATTTCCTTGTAACTTCAAATCATATCAAAACTAATTAAGTATTAGTTAAGATATTTTATTTTAAGTTATGAAAAAGATATATGTGGAGCATATTTATTGTGAGAAAATAAAATTATATTGAAAAATGTATATGTAGTTGGACAATTGGTCCAATTTTGGTAGTGGAATAGGTCCATCTTTTAGCTCAAATAGTGTGAGGCCCAAACTTTGGAAATCCAGGCCCAAAACTTCTTTTTTTTTAAAAGGAAAAATTATCTAACTATACATTTTTTTGCCCTATTTTTTTTTTTATTCTCTATCATTCTAAAAAATTACAAAAATTTCCGTTTTCACATTTTTTCTCACTTTTCCGAATACATCACTGTAAACTATCACCTCAAGTTTTTTTTTCTTTTTTTTTTCATGCCTAAAACCACCTCCATGGTATCACCACTTATATCCATCACTATGTTTTTGAATTTCAAATATTTTCTCTTTCTGATATATGATTGCAAGTTATTGAAGAGGTAGTTCTTCTTCATCAATTTTTTTTTCCACTTCATCATGTATCAACTTTATTTTTATTTTTTAGCATTTTCATCTATAGATTTAGTCGATGAAGGATGCATCTTCAACTTCAAAATCGATTGGGAAAAAAACGCCCAAAAAAGGGAGGAAAAGGTCGAGTTGTTGGTGGCTCCAGTAAGGGCTTTGGGTCGAAATCCATAGTGATGCCATTGTTGAGAGTCAAAAAAAAAACTACGAGAATTGATACAGAGCAAAAGAAAAAGTCTAGAAGGATTTATTCTTCATTGTTTTTCTTTCACCAAATTAGATTGTTGACTTATTTTTCGATATCTTGTTGTTCATCTTTTTTGTTACATATGTGTTCATTTTTTTAATGTTCTAGTTGTTTTTGTTTCTTAAATTAATGTATAACACATTCGTTTCAACATTATGATACATTACAATTTTATCAAGAGTTATTGGTGGCTTTGGTAAGGGCTTTGGGTCGAGATCCATGGGTGACGTCATTGTTGAAAGTGAAAATAGCTACAAGAGTTGATACGGAGCAAAAGAGAAAGTGTGGAAGAATTTCTTCATCATTTTATTTTTTTGCTTTTAGAAGATCAAATTGTTGATTTTTTTAAATTTTTTTTGTTGTCACCCGATCTTTTAATGTATCTAGTTGATTTTGATTCTTAAATTAATGTATAATTCGCTTATTTCACCTTTATGATACATTACAATTTTATCATGTACAATATATTGTTTTCAAATATTAGTTTTGATACATAATCCTAATTTGTTGAAAGACAAATTAGTATGTACCTTGTTCATAGTTACATATTGGATACACAACTATTACAAATTTCGTTATCTTTTACTACTGATATATACACCCAGCCTTATTCAACTAGTAGAAGGCTATCTATCTATAGACACTATCACATATAATTGTTGATACATAAATACTAATATTTTATAACAAAATCAGTTTGTATCATATTCATAGTTATGAATATGACATATAACTTTGTTATGTGTATAACATAGTTATGTATCAGATGTTGTGATGTATCACATGTTGTTAAGTATCTGCAACACTATTTTATAAATAAATCAATGCATACCATATTCACATTCATCTTTTTGTATATTGTACATAACTATATATAATTGTCGACTTTTTTTTTAATCTGTTACAATTTGTGCGAGATTTGAGAGAAGAAAATTTGAAATTTGAATTGTTTGAAGCTGTTATTTTGGAGAGATTGACATCATGATTTGGGGAACTGACATTTAATTTTATATTTAATTTCCTTTTTAATCTCAACAAACTAGTTGTATAATGTATCAAATGTGACGTATCCGGATGACAACAATTTAAGAGAATTTTTGTAAATTGAAAAAGAGTAGGGATAAGATGTAATTTGCTCCTTATATGGGATTCCTAAAATTTTAAGGGATAAAGGTCTGAAAAATATCCCAACTTTGGTCGGATTTGCTGTTGCGATACTAAACTTTCATAAGGATCTATTACCTCCCTACACTATTTAATACGTTATTTTTTACCCCCTGAACTATTTAATAGTGTATTTTAAAGGTATATATGTGCACACGTGGACACATTACTATTTATAATTTTGCATTATTTTTTATGTCCACGTGGGCAAATATATATGTTTAAAATACGGTATTAAATAGTCTAGGGAGATAATAGGTCCTCGTGAAAGTTTAGTATCGCAACAGCAAATCCGACCAAACTTAGGGTATTTTTCAGACCCTTATCCCAAATTTTAACATGAATATTTCTTGTTTATTTCACTGATTTTTATGGATATTTCAACTTGGTTATTTCACGCCGTTCACTTTTATTTGTCTACTATATTAAAAATTGATCTACCTTTTTACTTGTCACTTTTAACAGTTTAAGAAATAAACATATTTTTCTTTTCATGTTTTACACTCAACATTATTTATTCACTCTCGAAATTGTTTCTCAAGATCTAAGACTATATATCAATTGATATGGATATTGTGCACTACTAGAAACAAATGTTTTTTCCCGCACGAATCAGTGAAAAGTTTATACAATCAAACATGATTTTTTCCCCACTCATTTCTCACCAAACCAACTCACTGGGAACTGGTAAGACGCATGATGGGAAATAGATTCCGACTGAAAACACAATTTTTTTTATTTTTTTTTACCGATTCAATCAAAATATATGAGAAACTAACCATTAAACATTTTTCAATGGAAAAAATTATGATTTTTTAGTAGTAATGCTAAAATGTTATATTATTCTTATCTCTTAAGGGACATGCGGAATTTAAAATGGACAAATAAAAGTGAACAAAAAGTATTCAACCAAAGAAAAAAGATACTCTTTTTTTTACTGTATTATATGAAATTACAATATATCCCTATTTAATTTGTAATTACATTAATCCCTGAAAAAGTAAAACAAACCGGATACATAATATCCCTGAAAAAGTAACCCGAAACCTCTAGCTAATACCAGATGCTTTATGCACTAAATTATCCTAAATAGTAAGTAACATAATTTTATAAATATTTTTTAATTCGATAAATATTGATCCATTTGGTTACACTATCTCATCGTAATCGATTGAGTTGAACTCATTAGTAACAAACATCACGATCCGACCCATATAACCCTTGGATGGATCGAGCGGGTTACCAAAATAGCTAATTTAGTAGACTAAATCCACACTGAGCGAGTATTATGGGGGAGTGGTAGGACAGTTGTAACAAAAAAAAATCCCTTTAGACTAGGTACTCACTTAAAATTATGGTGAAATAAAAAAATTAAAAATAAATAAATAAAAAGGATAAAACTTCATAGTTACTTAAAATAACTACAGTAAATACTGAAATTCTTGTTTCCTTATATATATATGTAATTTTTAGTGTATTGTTTGTGTTCTTTTTTTATGCAAGGAAAGCAAAGTAGTACTCTTTCTATATATGACTTATAATTAGTGTAATTATATTCTTAGCAGAAAAAAGATTAAATTAATGGCTCTTTTGAAGCTTGGTTCTAAATCTGAAGCCTTCTGTTGTGAAGGTCAAGCTTGGTAATTCTTTTTTATTTGTATAATTTTGTTAGTTCTTTTATTCACATAATTTAGAAGAAAAAAATTGACAAGTTCTTATGTTTTTATGTTTAAGTTTTACGATTTTATAGTTGATTTCTCATATGATTGCTCAGTTGATGGTTGTTATCTCAGAATGTCATTTTTCTGAATAACTACTGGTTGAGTGATTATATATATGAGAAATCAATTTGAGAGAAGTGTTCGTCTTGTGTTATAAATGAGCTTATATCCATAGGGTATGATTCCTTCCGTCCCATTTTATGTGAAGAATTTAGTGTATGAGAGTTAAAAAATACTTAATTTTCATAATGTTGCATAACATGGGACAAGACATTGGGAATGAATTAATGATTTTTACCTCAACATTATTTGACATTCATTTAATTCAATCGAAGGTAGCCTTGGAGCAACAGTAAAGTTGTTTTCATATGACATATAGGTCACAAGTTTGATCGTGGAAACAGTCACTAATACTTGCATTGTGCACCGTGCTGGTCATTTTGGTTTTGTTTATGTAACTTGTCTTCAATAGTGAATTTATTTGGACTTTGTTCAGGCGATGTAAGTCAGGACTTCCAAGTGACATTACAATTGAAATTGGAGAAATGTCATTTTATCTACATAAGGTATACTCTTTTTTTCACTCCTTGTTATGATTTTTTTAAATCTAAGGTTCAATTCAGTATTTATTTTAGCTTTTACAATAATTATTTTAGTATTTTTAACCATACATTCATATGTACAAGTTTAGTATATTTCTAATTTTTTCTATGATTGTGGGCTTTACTTCAAAGCTATGTTGCTTAGAGACTCTCCAAAAATGTTGTCGAACGTTTTTCAGATCGTCCAAAAAATGCACTACTTTTGGAGGATCTGACATGAACCGATCGAAGTTTTGGAAGAGTCAGAGCAATATAGCTTCAAAGAAGCACGCGCTTCACTCTTGGTTTTTGCTTCAATCCCTAAGGACCTTTGTTGTTGCTGTTTTTTGCTTTTAAAAACACTGTATACAAGATAATGTTCAAAAAAACAAAATCTAGACCATCCTATTGTTGACTTTACTTCAAAGAAGTGCGCGAAAGGGGGTTTATTCCAACCCCTTTTCGCGGAAAATCACACTTGTTTATATATATATTATAGTAAATGTTGAAGTCCCTCGATGAAAATCCTGTCTCCCCCACTGCGCCCCAAGGAGTTGCTTTTTAAAGAACACTATATACAAGATGTTAGATGATATATAGTTGTGTTGCAGTTCCCTTTGCTTTCAAGAAGTGGACTACTAGAAAAGCTGATGAATGAATCAAGAAAAGACGATGGATCGTTATGCGTTCTTCAGCTTAGTGACATACCTGGTGGAGCTAAAGCATTTGAGTTAGTAGCCAAGTTTTGTTATGGTGTTAGATTTGAACTTACTCCTCTAAATGTAGTTGCCCTTAGATGTGCATCTGAGTATTTGCAAATGACAAATGAATATGGTGAAGAAAATCTTGTATCACAAACCGAGTCTTTTCTCAATGATGTTTTTAGTAATTGGACAGATACAATTAAAGCATTAGAAACTTGTGAAGAAGTGTTGTCATATGCTGAAGAGCTTCACATTGTGTCGCGATGCATAAATTCATTAGCGATGAAAGCTTGTAGCGATTCTAAGTTGCTTAATTGGCCTGTGATGGAGAATGGTAACGATAGTGTTCATGATGTATGGAATGGTATAAGCACGGGGACTAAGACACAACCGATGACTGATGATTGGTGGTACGAGGATGTGTCCTTCCTCAGCTTACCTTTGTACAAACGTTTGATTCAGGCTGTTGAAGCTGGAGGAATGAGGGCTGGGAACATATCCGGTGCACTCGTGTTTTATGCAAAGAAATATGTTCCTTTAATGAATAGGCAATCGAGCTTTAAGGACGTTACTCATGCTAAATCAGGTTCTACTCCGTCTGAGGCTGATCAAAGGGTGCTTTTAGAAGAGATCGTTGAGTTGTTACCAAAACAGAAAGGTGTAACGGAGACTAGATTTCTCCTCAGGCTGCTACGTACTGCTATGATGTTGCAGGCTAGTCCATCTTGTCAAGTAAATTTGGAAGGAAGAGTAGGGTTGCAGTTAGACCAGGCTATACTTGATGATCTGCTCATACCAAATATCGGTTACACAGTTGAAACTTTATATGATATCGACTGTTTTCAGCGTATTCTAGATCATTTCTTGTTAATAGATCAGGCTTCAGCAGCCGTATCTCCATGTATAATGGAAGAGAGTCAGTTGATTGAAGGTAGTCAGTCTTTGGCTTCCATAACAAGAGTGGCTAATCTCGTGGATTCGTATCTTGCTGAGGTTTCCCCTGATGTTAATTTCAAGTTTCCGAAATTTCAGACTCTTGCTTCTGCAATCCCAGAATATGCTAGGCCAGTCTCTGATGGTATCTATCGTGCAATCGATATATATTTGAAGGTAACACTTAAATGTATATAAACCATTTTACTCTGTTTTGTTTTATAAAGGTTGATAGTTCAGAGCAATGTTGCTCGGACTATTCAAATATATAGTTGAAATGCACTACTTCTGGACGATCTGGATGATAAACATAAGATAGAAACTACTCCCTTCGTTGAATTTAAAGGTTTCAAATGTAGGCACATCCTTGGCTGACAGACATTGAAAGAGAGCAAATGTGCAGACTAATGAATTGCCAGAAGCTGTCGTTAGAGGCCAGCACGCACGCTGCTCAAAACGAGAGGCTTCCCCTAAGGGTGATTGTTCAAGTCCTGTTTTTTGAACAGCTTCGTCTACGTACATCAATCTCTGGATGGTTCTTTGTGTCTGAAAACTCCCAAAATGTTAGCGGAGCAATTGGACAACACGCGGACAATGCTACACGAGGCAGAGGAAGGAGTGTTGAGGACATGAGGGAACGTGTTTCCGACCTTGAAAAAGAGTGTAACAACATGAAGGAAGAGTTCCAAAAGATGGTGAAATCAAAGAGGAGATGGAATATATTTTTCAGGAGAAAATCTCAGTGTAATTCAAAATCAGGAAAGCCTAGTGAAGATGCAACATGTCAAACTGTTCCACCAAAAGTTCCCTAAGTTTTAAACACTAATAAAACTGTTTTTGGAGTTTCTGAATATGAATGATTTGAAGTTTTTTTTTGTTTGGTCATTTTGACATTTGCCAATATTTGGATTCTCAAATATTTAGCATTGATCCTTTTGTTCTCATCGAAACTCTCTATAACAACGTCGTTTATTCCTTTTGGATGTTATAGCGAAATACAGAAAACATATAATATAACACAACATGAAATGTTGTTATAGAGGAAGGTTATTATAAAGATATCTGACCATAATAGTTAGTCAGAGTTTATGGATTCTAGATTCTATAAAAAGAAAGTTTCTTGATAGATTATTTATATACGTTGAATGGATTTTTTAGTACAAATACAAGGTATGTGTTATGTAAATAGAGTTGTTGGGGATTCTAAATTAAGTACATTAGTTTGGTAATGGTTGAAGCAACAAACTCGGATTCAGTTTGAAACCCTATAAAAGGGGTTAGCATGCAACAACTTTCCGTGATAGAGGCAAGTTTCTTCAAGTTCAAGTTCCGCTTGATTTCTAATCATTATGATATGAGTAAGTTCTTGCAGTTCGCTTGTTGTCTACTAATTAAACCTTCATTTGCCCCGACCTCTATGATGGATCGTAAATTAAGTGAAGTTAAATCAATGAAATGAACGGCCTAACATTTTTTACATCTAAGATAAGAAATTGGCCCAATTGAAGTTGTTGCTATATTCTCCACAACTGTGTCTAGAAATTGGGCTGAGACTTAGTGGACTCATTTTAGGCCTTGTTAAATTGGGCTGAAATGACACCAGGTAGCCACTGATTTATGCAAATGTTTCTTTTTTGGGAAAATTACTTATATACACACATTTACTTACCTTAATATCCATTTATCCCTACCTTTTTAAAAAATTTCAAAAATCTCTTTATTCCCCCAATTCATAAAATCTTCCGGATACATAAATATTTCACTCCTATTTTCAGCCTACACCCACGTTTCCCACTCCCCATATCACTCCTCCAGTTTATCCCTAAATTCTCTCCAATTCTTTAGCAGTTACAAATTTCAAATTCATTTTGATTTTCA